TCCCCTCATCTTCTGAACCAAAGGTGAGAGATTAGTTGAAAACACAAGGAGTGGGGGCAGCTTAACGGTGCATCCACCACTTGCTGCCTGGCGCTCTCCTCCTGCAAAACCTTCCTTCTGCAGGGGGGTGAGGGAGAAGGGGTGGTCAGCCTTTAGGAAGGGTTGGCCCTAAACTGTGCAAAATCCAGGTTTGCTTCATCCTTCCTTGGAGGCTCCCAACCTCTCCAGGAGCTGCTGGTGGCTGGGCTCCTGCTCCTTTCCCCAGTGCAGCCCAGCTCTGCTCGGTTGCTCTCGCACCACTGCAGTGGCCTGAGGCTGGTTTGGCTTTGATGGGAGGGAGGCAACGTGTGCTTGGACATGTTAGGGTTATGGAAATATAAAGCCCCAACCAGATACTGCTAACTTTGCTGCTTCCTTTCTGCCCTTGCTGTTGTTAGGGCTAGGAGTTTATATTGTGCAGCAAGCCCTTTCGTAGGAGACCAAGTGATTGAAAACAGCCATGATATTACTATGCGCGGACAGTACATTTTTTCCATGTATTTTCATAACCCTTTTCCCAAAGGAGCAAATGTGTCTTTATTCTATAACTCCACAATGGGTTAGAGCAGCTCCTCGGGCGGGAATTGTTCTGCTCCATAGGCTACTTAATACTTCCTATAAACAACTGCCAAATTAGGTAGGTAATACTCAGTACCTCTGACCACCAGCAGAGTATTTGTAGCTGTGTATCAGAAGAGAGGCAGGGCTGGAGGTGGCAGAGGTGAACCTGGGGTTAAAAATACTGGTTGTGTTATCTGCCTTTTTTTTTTTTTTTTTTAAATAAAAAGCAAGTGTAAGTGTATGAGTGCAACTGAATTTGCACTCCTGCAGGGAAGCTTTGATCTCAGACCTCTATCGTACCTTAGATATCTCTGGTACTTAAGCCAAAGTGTATCTAATTGAGAATGGAGTTTCACCAATAATGTCACGGGATATGTTTTTTAAGTACACATGTACGTCCTTGCTTTTGGGCCCTAGTAACACTATGTCATTTGCTAAATATCGTCTAAACTTGAGCCAAGTCAGAGTAGGACGCCTTGGTCCTTCACAGTCCTTGGGATGGGAGGTTTCTACTCTGTTTGTCCTTTGAGGAAGGGCTGCTTGGGGCAGATGGGACACTGTGGTGGTGTCCCATGGGGACCCTAGACCTTGCCCACTCTGTGGGTCCCTATGGCAGATGCTGCCAAGTTGCCAGGGAGGTGACATTACCCCACCATGAGCCTGGCAGCCTGTGGGTGACAGAAAAACTGAGGGCTAGGAGGGTCCGTGACCTGGAAGGGAAAAAGACCCCCAAAATCCCTCTTCCTTAAATATCCCATTTTTATGAGAGTGCTGTGACAGTTTTTCTCAAACAAGCACCTGAGATGTCCTGTTCTTGCTGCCTTGCCTAGGAGGGACATGGCTACACTGGCCTTGGCCCATCACAGTGCTCCATCTGAGCAGCATTTTGCAAAGGGATGGTCTGCAGACCCATGCACTTCCACTTGCAAGAGTCCTTTTTTCCTCCCCCCTTGTTTTTTCCCCTCCTCCCTCCTCTCCTTTGCACTCAGAAAACATCTGTTTCCAGATGTTGTTCTTGAGTCTAATAAACGCAGCGAAAGGCCTTGAGTTAATATATTTACAATAGCTGGAGATGTTGGCTGCTAGTTAATGGCTCGTTCAAGCACACCAAGACCCCCACATTTCCTGAGAGGGGGGAAAAAAAAGAAAGAAAGAGAGAAGTGGGGTGGGGTTTTTCTCCCTAGTAAATGTCCGGAAAAGAGGAAGTGCTCCTCAGGCAGTTTTGGAAATTACTGGTAGGATCCAGCACACAACCATCTCCATGCAGTTGGCTTCAACTTCCAGTCAGTGACAGGAAGGGCACGTTTGTGTGTTTTGTTTTCTGTTTTGTTTTGGTTTTTTTTTTTTTTGAATGAAAGGCTCTACTTAAAGTGAAGGAAAGTGAGGAAGGCCTGCTGCTGTTTCCCAGCCCTTTCCAGGCCAAATGAAGACCTGCTGTAGATACCTTGCTGGCTTGAATCATGCACATAAAGGTGAGAACTGCATCCGTGCCCATCTTTTCCATTTCTGGTGTGGGGTGGTTCTTCCCCATGGTACCTACCTGGGGTCAGAAAAGGTTTATGGTCTCTTGCGTTGAGACCACATCGTGCCCTGTGAGGAATCCCTCCACATCCCTTTGTGAGCACTGTATGTCTGTTGCAGAGCAGCAATGGGCAACCTCTCTGAAAGGCACCTTGCCTATGCATAAGTGCCCCAGAGAAGGACAAAGTGCCAGTAACAGCTACAGACAGACAAACCTGGAGGCTTGAATACATGGGCATAACCTTGTCCAGCCTGTCAATGGACCCAGTGCCATGTGCAAGATGTGAAACGCACTCTTTCTTGTACAGAGGGGTTTGGCTGCTTTGAGAGGCATATTATGCTTTATATTTGCTCCAGACTTCATTGCATGTTTGTGCTGAGGTCCATAACTGTCCTGGAGGACCTGTTAGAAGTGGCAGAAGTGTTTGGTTACTGTCCTTGTAAGGAATTGCATCAACCTCCCCGAGGAGAGAGGGATATAGCCTCAAGCTCAGCCTATTGAGCAGAGTCTTGCCTGCTCTAAGAGTCACCTGTCAGTGAAATCACTGCCTCTGACTGCAAATGAGCATCTGCTTCTACTTGACCAGCCTTGAGAGTCATGAACTCGCAGGAGGACTGGTTTCAGGCTGGCACCCGCCTCATCTGAGGCTGCCGAGGGAGCTGAAGGTTGAGCCGTACTCAAGGCGAGGAGCAATGAGGTGACTCCGTGTGCCGGGGCCCGTCTCTGGAGGCGGCTCGTTTGGCCAGCAGTGCTGCAGGCTCGGCGCGTGCAGTTGGCTCAAGTTCGTCGCTAAATTAGTCCATTTGTATTGGCACAGGATGACAGGGCTCCTTAATGCCTCACGGATAGAAAAATCACCCTCCTTGCACATCTGCAGCTAAGGCTTCCGCGTGAAACCCGGCCGAGCGCAGCTCCCCAGCCTGCAGCAGCTATGACATACCCCTTAAATGAACTGATCAGCTGGAGAGGGGCTGGCGGGGAGGCAGGAAAAGGCACTTAGAGAGTCGTTCAGGCGATGCTCGTGTCTGGACAGCAGGATCTCTATCACAAATCAGAGTGAAAGAGCAGAGAGCTCTCCCCAGGCAGCGCGGGGAAATGAAATGTAGACACCCAGCAGATTTCCGTTTCCAGCTTAGAGGGTGCGTTTTTGTGATTTTAGTGCTTGGGCTGGTATAAAGGAGAGAGAGGGTGCCTTCAGCGAAGCCACGTAGGACGCAGGCAGGTTGCTGCAGTCGTCAGTAGTTCAACCTCAGCCTTTAAGTAATGTGCTTCACAGCATCCCAGTTGCCAACTGTTATTTCCCCATGTAGATCTCCGCTTCCCAAATCCTGTATCATCAGCCTCGAAGCATCTCCCATGCATTTCTTACTGTCAGCTTCTTTGCTGTGATGGCAGGTGGCATCTTAGGTAACTCCATGGACCAATGTCTTCTCTTTGGCATAGCCACAGCCTCAGACTCCTTTTTCTTTCACAAGGAAATAGGCTGCGAACACGGGCGTAGTTGGGAAGAGACCGAGGAGGAGGTAGGAGATGGGGGCAGCTCTGCCTCCCAAATGAATAGACACCCTGCGAGGGCTGGGTCTGTGGGTTACACGGCTCTGCCCTGCTCATATGAGAAACTGTTGAAAGGCTGCAGCCATCCGATGGGTGTTTTCCATGCGTGCTGGAGCAGCAGCACGAATTTGAGCAGCAAGATGACAAGAAACCTGCTAAAAGAAATAAAGAAAGGATTTCCTGCCTCGCAGACGCTAAAATCCCGTTTCGGGAAGCGAGTGGCTGTGAAAGGCATGAGGCCATTCAAAGAATTGGGACTGTGTGCTACTGGGCCCTCCAAGGGTTTGTTTGGTGGAGAAGAAACAGCTCGTGCTCGCTTTAACCTGCTCCCAGAAGGTCTATTCCTTCCAGCCCTCTGAAACGGAGACTGGGCGAGAGATGAATATGAGTTTTCTCTGCCAGTAATTTCCAGCACAGACTGCACGCAAAATCTTCATTTAAAATGTGTAAATGACAGCGAAAGAGCCACAAGGGAGCCAGATTTTGAGAGACCAATTTGCTGCCCCGGTTTTAATGGTTGTGTGCCACAGCAGACCCTGCGCTGCTTCGCTGCGGTGTGCGCTCAAGAAGGGGATCAAAGGACAGACAGATGGACAGGCAAGGGCTCAGCAGAACCTGCGTGTCACCCTGGAGGATAAAATATTGTATGTCATGATTGGAAAAATTGGGAGAGGTGGGCCTCCCTTGCTCCTGAAGAACAGAAAGAGGCTTTGTTTCCCAGACACGTGGCTCAGAGCTGCCCTATGGCCCGTGTTGGGGAGACTGCTCCCCACCAAGGAGGTGTTCTGCCCAGCACCCCGTGCCTGGCGGGACATGGAGGAGGTGATGGGAAGCTCTGCTTCACTAGAGGGCCTCAGCACATTAATTCCTCCGAATGCCCTTCGTGCCCCCCAGGCTGGGTTGTATGCCCAAATCAAGCCCAAAAGGTTCCCCTCTTGCACTGCAGCTTGCCCACCCGGGGTGTTGCCCCCTGCTGCCCTTTGCTTGTTTTTTGCAGAGCTGTCAGCTGCCAGCTCCTGTTTCCAGATGTTTCCCTCGGTTCTCACCCTGCCTGGTTGCTCTCCTCAAAATATTGGGGTCAAAATACCCCACTGTTACTGCCTTAGGGCTGCCCCGGGGACACAGCAGCCCATTTGTACCATCCCATAAAGCTCTCTTCGGCTGCGGGGAGGAAAGAAAGATGCAGGGCTGGTGTGAGCCCAGCCTCTGCTTTACAATCTCTTTCCTGCCGCTATAAATAACCTCGGCGAGAGTCACTTCAAAGGGAAAGGCTGGCGGCAGAGAGGTGGTTTGGGGACTGAGCGGGACAGGGGCGTCCCACCGCCCGATCCCACCCCGGCGCTTTGCATAAATAAATAAATCATGCAGCAAGGGAGAGGTGGAGAGAGGGGGCGAGCAGAGGAGGTTACTTTGGGAAGCCGCGTAGCTCGCTCATCCCACAGCCCCGTAGTCCGCAGCGAGTGTGTCATGTTACAGGGGAGCCAGGATCGGCCAGAGCACAACGTCGTCGCCGGAGCAGCTGAGAATTACCTCTCTCTAATGGGGACTTTCATGTGCGAGCTCCTGGCCGGACTGCGAAGTAACTAAAACTGGCAGCTTAGAAGGAAACAAAATCCTACCAGCAAACCAAAAGACTGAAACGCAGAAGGGAAAAAAAAAAAAAAATCCCGATCAGATTTTTTTTTTCCTTCCTCCCACTCTTTGCTGCAGTTGGATCCTTTTTTTCTGCACCCCTTTTATGTGTGTGTGGTTTGTTTTTATTTTTTTAAAGACACCCTCCCCCCCCTCCACTTTTGTCACTGTTGCTGTTATTTGTCATTTGCTGGCACTGGGATCCCCTTGGACGCTCTTTTTCTATGCCTTTTGGATTGTGCTTCTTGGAGCAGGAGTGAGGCTTTATTTATTCTATTTATTTATTTATTGTTTCTCAGGACAGGGAGGGAATGTTGGAGGAGAAGAGCTGGAAGGGCATCGGCGAAGCAGCTTTTGACAGGGGGTGCGTGGCTCCCCCCAGGACCGGCGATGGGGAGAGATGCTGCCGCCTCCCTCTCCTGCTGGGCTCAGGGCTGCCCGGCGTCTCCCTGCTTTCTCTGGTGCTGAGCCTCCTCCTGTACTTTCGGACCTCGGATCTCCAGTCCCGGGTGTCCCACTTGGAAGCGGACAGACCCACACAGCTCCCTGCCTGGCTCTCAGCAGACCAAATGGAGACAGCTATTTTGGGAAGAGTTGACCAACTGCTTGATGAGGTCGGTGTTCTTTCATTTTGCGTGTGTAGTTTGCAGTACTATAGATTTTAGGCATGTGCATGCTCGCATCGTTGCATGAACTTTTTTTTTTTTTTTTTTCCTCCCTTAAAAATGTATTTCTATGCAAGTGATGCTGCTAGGTTGAATTTCCCGTGCCTTCAGGTCCCTCCCACCTCTCCAACCTGCCTGGTGTTTGCTTCCCTCTGCCCTAGCCCATGCTGTGGCTGAGCCCCGACGCTTTGCAAAGGGGAAAATCTCATCCCTGGTCCTGGCAGGGAGGGAAGAGTCTCTAGCCCTCTCCGTTTGGTGACTGGTGGCATTGCCTGATGAAAGAGAGCTAGAGGTTAAATCTGGGAATTCAGTGTAGCTTTGGGCCCCGGGAGAGGGACAAGCAAGGCATGCCACAGCCAGTGTGGCTACAAGAGGGGGTAACTGCAAACACATCAATGTTGTGACAGGCTGGCTTTGCTGCCATGCCAGCCCTGACCCTTTCCATGGTTCCTGGCTCGGGAAGATTAGATATGCTGGCACTGCCTGGGTAGTTTCTGGTACTGCCAGGGCATCGGTGCAGAGCATATGGTTGTGTTATGCCCGCTTGAGCCCCATCCAAACTCCACTGAAGCCAGCAGGCTCTTCCTCTGAGGTTGGGGAGAGCTGCTGCTGAAGAAGTCTGAGCTGCAGCAGGTCAATAGAGAGAGCCCAGAAGTCTGATTTTTGTCGCTGACACCTTTTACTTTGCTGTGCTGATGCTCCTGGGGGCTCCCTTGACTCCTCTGCCTTGGGTGAGATAGGTACCCTGCAAGATTACTCTCCTTGTTGGAGCTTTGAAATGTTTTTGACATGTGTCAGGGAGCAGATGGTGGCTCATGTCTCTGAACTCTCCGGTCAGGTCCACACTGACCTGTTCCCATAGCTCCAGGGGAGGCTTGGGGCTAAGATTCAGGGCTGGGGCCATTTCTACCCACTTCTCCTTTTCTCTGTTTACTTAAGCCTTAGTATGAGACGGGCTAGCCCAAAACCTGGTTTTGTCTGAAAAAAGCTCACATGTTGCTATGCCAAACGAGGTTGAGGAATGGGATGATCAGAGTGGTGACTATTTGGGACATGCTTCAGGGCAGGGCTGCCTGGCACCCGGAGGGACCTGGGGATCCCTCCACACTTCCTAGGAGCAGTGAAGTTCTGCCGTGAGGAGTTTAAACCTACAGCTGACAGGCTCGGCTACCGTTTATGGGTCTTGAGGGAACATTCCCTGGATTGACCAGGGTTTGCAGCCAAAAGCTGTGAACCTCGCATTAGCAAACACCGCAGGAGTTGAGGGATGTTGTTTTGAGTGGCTTCTTTGGATGAGGAATAAGGGGGAGACAGGGTCCGTGGGGCAATACCCTGCAGAGAAAAGCTTTTGGGGGAAGCAAAAGCATTACCAGTGGCTGGAACTGTGCCCTGCGGTTGCACCCTTACACAGCGACTCCTTCCCTGCCACTGGGCAGGGAGTAATGTGCAGCGTTCCCCTTATTGCTGCTGGCATGAGTTTCCTGGGAAGTTGCAGTTTATCTCTACCAAGTGATTTGAGACGTGCCACAGGATGCCTCCTGGGAGCGGTGCCCGGGGCCGGATGGCCCCCTGTGTCCTGCTGGCTCTACTGGCTGCGGCACCTTTCCGCCTTTTTATAGCCTGGCTTAGCAAGGAAAAGGGGCTCTCATGATGCCCACGTGCTTGGCGGCACCCCTGTTTTCTGAGCAGCCCCTCCTGAGCCCCTGGGGTGGTCTCGGCTCCCCCCCAGCCAGTGTGGGGAGCAGCTGTGTGACAGAAACCACTGCTTGAGAGGCCAGCACTTGCTCCCGGGTACCACTGGGGTTACCAGCTCCCTGCTGGGCTACAGCTTCAAAAATAGCTTGAAGAAAGGCATCGGAGCCTGTGGAGGAGTAGAGATGTTGAGTCCTGATTTCTCCTGTCCCTTTACACCTGGGAAGGTCTGCTGCCTATGGTGGGAGGAGGGCTGGGCTTCCTGGGGAGGAGACCTTTCCTGACTCAGCTGCCCGCTTCAGCTAAGCTACCAAAACAGCTACTTCAGACCTCTACATATCAGCCAGAGGCACTGATGTGGGCCAAGTGGCTCGAGGTGCAGGATGGGGGTCTGCTGGTGGACAGATGGTGGGGTGGCATATGGGGCTTTTGCTTAGGAAAGAAAAGCAAATCCCCCGGTCCTTCTTTTGATTAGGTCTGAAGTGGGGCTAAGTTGGATGGGTCTCCCAGACTGGCTGGTGAGGGACGAGAGGGGTGCAGAAAACCAGGAAAGGAAAAGGAGAGCAGGGGAAAGGCTGGGAGAAGAAAAATGAGGAAAACAAGAGAAACTGCTGAGCAGGATTTGGGGGGAGGGGGGCTGTGGCTGGGCTTGCTGTGATGGACGTGATAGTGGGATATTCATTCCCTGCTGCTCAGACCCTTGCTGCCTCTCACTGCCACATCCTCGCAGAGTTTCCTGGTGTTTCGACCTTAATGGGTTTCACAGCTGCCCAGCTCAGTGTTATCCATCACAAAATAGCAAAGCTTTAAGAAACCATGGCTTTGGAAAGAGCTGGTGTGAGCTGGGTAGGGAGGTGAAGGGGGCACAGGAGTACACTTCTAGCTCTGGTGGCTGTGAAGATCACCTGGAGGGATGTGAAGAGGCAAAGCCTGCGAGGGCTGATAGAGGAGCCAGCTGAGGTTATGCTCTGTTGTCTGAGCTGGGGCACGTGTTACCCTCCAGACTGTGCCACGTTTGTGCCCAGGGGCACCCTGGAGGTCTTCAGGGGTCTGTGAGCAGCCACGGGGACACCCTATGGATTGCACTGAAAAGCAGAGTATGCCGAAGACCTTTTAGGTGCCCTTCTTACGGACAAGCAAATATAAAGCAAACTGGCAGAGAGAGGAGCTGGGGTTGGTTTCTTTAAAATGTTAATTTTAAGCCAGCTGGTGGGGATGTTTTCCTGGTCCTAGAGCCCAGTTTTGAGCACCCACAGCTGGCTCTGGTGGTATTTCTGTCTCAGTTCAAGATGAACAAGCAGATGCATTCCCAGAAGCTGCTCCCAGTGCTGCTTCACTTGCTACTGTGCAAATCTCAGCCTGGTGCCAGAGAATACCAGAGGGGAATTTTCTCCCAGACACAAATTGTGTAAGTTTTCCCACAAAAAACATCTGTGCAAAACGGGCCAGAAGCAGGTAGTTCAAGGAGAACTTTAGCTTCGTGTAGAAATTCCTTTGCATTTATGGCGCATCAGAAATTAGTCCAAAGAGCACAAATAAACTCACTACTGGCATTTGCAGGAGAGGCAAAGCTTTCCAAAGAAGAAAACAAGGTCCTTTCCCATGCTGGGTAACATTTGGTACTATTTTGCTTACTAAAAGCTTGACAGGGTGGAGAGGAGGATGGATTCAGTGCTGCTGCTAGGAAAAAACCCCAGAATTTGTGTATTTGTAGAGATAGAAGTATGTGAGTGTGTAACAAAACAGCAGTTATCCTGTAAAGTCTGGGGGTAGATCAGCTGCCACTCTGTACTGTGATGAGTGCGCTCAGCATCTCAGGGAGTTGTGTTGAAGCTATTGTGTCTTCAGTGATGCTGAAGGGATTTGGGGGCTGTGCTGAATGGGGAAGGGAGCATTGATCCTGACTGATTTCCCAATAGGCTTATTTCCCTGGGACTCTCTCCTTACTTCTGTAAGCAAAGGGAGGGACACCTGAAAACTCCTTTTCCCTCTCAACAGCTTTTTTTTTTTTTTTTTTTCCCTCCTTTTGCTTCAATGTCTTGAAGCACACTGTGAAATTCTGCTTTCCCTGCCTCAATCTTTAGCTTCTTACTTCTGCGAGCAAAGGGAGGGACACCTGAAAACTCCCTTTCCCTCTCAATTTAACAGCTTTTTTTTTCTTTCTTCTTTTTGCTTCAATGTCTTGAAGCACACTGCACAATTCTGCTTTCCCTGCCTCAATCTTTAGCTTAGTGTTTTCCACCCCAAGATCATGAGATCTATTTTTGTCTTCCAATTCCTCTGGTAGCTAAGTCCTGTTTTCTTCCAGCTGCCTGCAATCCTTGAACCTAAAAGGTGTTATTTCCAAGCTTTTTGCTGCATCTAGGAGGGTTTGCTGCTTGTCATTGCTCTGTGTGACACGGTCCTGTGATTCCAGGAGCTGGGCCTTTAAGAAAAAACAAGCTAAAATAGAGATAAAACAATGAGAGTTAACAAAACCACCGGCCCTTGAAATCCTCCTGATGGCTGTAATAGATTATCTATTTGAGACATGTTTCTTTTAGCTGTTGGAGATAGTGGTGGGAAATGATTTCACCTCCCCGGGTGACTGCAAACAACTATGTCTGCTAAAGGGCTATTAATCTGCCCCCTTTGAAGAAGTGTCCTCTCTTTTACCTAATCTCAAGTGCTCATCCAAAATAGACAGGCACTTGCAAGTTTTAGGAGGCCACAGCCATGGCCCTTTAATGTCAGAAGAGGTCTTGCTTTCACTGCTCTGTGTGCTCAAGCCAGCCCTGTCCTGTCACGCTAGTGGCGAGTTAACAAAACCCAAGGGAAAAGCCCATCCTAGCTTTTTTTCCCCTTTCTAGCACGTTTTTCAGCCTGACCCTCGTGCCCTTGCCCTCCTGCAGACGGGGTTTTCTCCTTTCCTCCACACTCAGTGATGTGTGATGGCTCCTGAAATACACAGAGGTGCACCTCCTGCATTTGGGAGCAGGTCAGCTGTGGCTTTGCTGCTGGCAAAGGCTTTTTTTTTCAGCCACGTTCGTATGTGTAGGGAGAAGGTGCAGCCGTTATGTCACTGGAAAATATGACAGGCAAGAGCAAGCAGGCTGTGCTGACAAGCTGCCCCTCTCTGTAAGAAGTGTTTTCAGCACTTCTGCCAGCGCAAAAGGTAACCAGTTCCATGCTCTAGGTGTCCCCCAGGTGAAAAAGCAAACCCCAGATCTCATAAAGGAGATTGCAAACACTTGATTCTTTTATTTTTGCTCACAGAAGTCAGCCTTGCCGTACAATTGAATAGTTTTCTGTTGCCTGGGAATGGAAGCCTTCATTTGGAAAGGCCACTTTTAGAGGAAAGCCCTTTCTCTTTCCCTTCCTGAGCAAAGCCGGCTTCTTGTGTTGGACGAGGGAGTATTTTGCACAGTGGTAATGAGAGAAGCAGAAAAGGACAGGAATTCATTTTGTTTCACCATCTCAACCCAAAGCTGAACTGAGGTCTCCAGAAGCCAAGGATTTTTTCTGTTGCAGTCAGTGTTTGTTTAATAGACTGTGCAGGAAACTGAACCCCAGGCGCTCCTGAATTCCTGGTAAGTTTTGCCTCCCACTGAAGGGGAGTAATCCCACGGCACCATTGCCCTTTGCATCCCCCAGGGGATGTGCAGAGCTCCTGGGCTCCAGGGAGGCACCATGGTGGCCAGGGATGGGGAAAATGCCCAATGCCAGTGAGTGCCTGATGGCTGCATGGTACTGGTGCGGAGGACTGTGCTCCCAGCCCTGCCCAGCAGCACCATTACCTCCCTCTTGAGGGGCCTCTGTCCTCAAGAAGGCTATTTCAGTTGTCCCAGGTGTTTCCACTACCCTGACCAGAGAGGGAATTCTCCATTTTACTCTGCTCTGGTGAGACCTCACCTGGAGTATTGTGTGCAGGTCTAGAGCCCTCAATATAAGAAGGACATGGACCTGATGGAGAGGGTCCAGAGGAGGGCCAGAAGGATGATCAGGGGGATGGAGCACCTCTGCTACGAGGACAGGCTGAGGGAGCTGGGGTTGTTCAGCCTGGAGAAGAGGAGGCTCCGGGGAGACCTTAGAGCCCCTTCCAGTACCTGAAGGGAGCCTCCAGGAAGGCTGGGGAGAACCTGTTTAGAAAGGCCTGCAGTGACAGGACAAGGGGCAATGGCTTCAAGCTGGAGGGGAACAGATTTAGACTGGAGATGAGGAGAGGGTTCTTCACTGTGAGGGTGGTGGAGCACTGGAACAGGTTGCCCAGGGAGGTGGTTGAGGCCCCATCCCTGGAGATATTCAAGGTGAGGCTCGACGAGGCCCTGGGCAACCTGGTCTAGTTGGGGGTGTCCCTGCTGACTGCGGGGAGGTCGGACTAGATGACCTTTGGAGGTCCCTTCCGGCCTGGGCAATTCTATGATTCTATGACCCTGCAGATAAAGTCGTGGGGAAATGCTCTCTCTCCTCTTCCTCTCCCAGCTGCACTCAAGTCCTGCTGGGTCATCACTTCCCCTGATAAATCCAGTTATGCTGCTCTTCAACTTCTGCGCCAGCAGAACAACCCAGCCAAGGCTACTTGCAGCAAATCTGGACTCTGCTTCCCCCCCGGCCATTCTTCCTTGGTCCCAGGGATGCCTCTGCACTTGGTGGGGTCGGGATCAGTTGCATGTCTCCTTGCAGATTTCTCCCCTATAAGGGCCCCTGCTGCAGTGTTTTTGACCCTCGCTGGTTAGGAAATGACTTCTTGCTCCTGCCCACGTGAACCATCACCCCTTCCCTGTGCTAAGCCCCATTTCCAAACATGGGAACCCCACCCAAATGTGCCAGTCTTGTGTTCAGACATTTTGGTTGGCACGCGTGTAGATGGAAACGGGAACGCGTATGTCTACATACCAGTGCGAGTATCCAAATAAAGGCTCTGCCGTCCTATTTGTGCCCATGTTTGACCATTAGCACAAAGTGTTTAAAGCCAGACAGCGCTGTGGAGCAGAGCCATGCCATCTGGGAGTGGCAGCTAGATAAGAATGTGCCCAAATGCAGAGATTCACATTTCTGTGCTTTTAAACTAAGATGATAAACATGGGTAAAATGCTGCATGGGAACTGGCAACTCTCACTTGAAGCCCTCTCCTCACCCTGATATCAATTCAACTCGCTATCAAAACATTTCAGTCTACCATGCGAAAAAAAAAGCTCTGAAAATATTCAATTTCTAGTCAGTCACAACAACCCTTACTGGTTTTGACTTCCAATAACGAAGCCGGTCATTTCCAAGTGAAAAATGGAAGTGTTCCAGCAAATTCTGCCTTCCCTCATCCCAGTAAGAAATAGGTTGCTTTATTTTTTTTTTTTCTAAGAGAAATTTCCCCCAATCTGATGCCTTCTTGCACGAAGGTGGTCACTTACTTGCAAAAATCAAGTAGTATCTATATGATACTGGGCATGGTCTTTTATTGAGCCCAACATAAGGCTATTTCTTTTGAAATGTTGGCCTCGATTGTGAACTAGGTCAGACAGCAAGATGCAAGCAGGATGAACAGTTGTGCTTGAAGGTTAGAAGGAAAGTGACTTCTTAGCACAGGTGCCCTGGCAGCTCAGTCTTCTCAAATCACCTCAAATCATTAACTAAGTGCAGTTCACAGGTATTAATGAATAACTTACTTGGATTGATTTGCATTTTCTTCACTAAATCACAGTAATTTTAATAAAGTCTATGAGAGGTGGTGTGGATGCTGTCCCTAAAGTGCATCTACTCAGGACATGGGTCAATTTTAATGACATTTCCAGTGAGGGAAGATGTGGTGGCCTTAGGTGGACTCTATTGCCCCTTTAAGTGATACATAGATGGGGCCAGAAAGTAGGAAACTGACAGACTAGCGCCGTTAGAAATCGAAAATCATTGGAAATGAACATCTTGACGTTTCTTGATAGGTTTTGTCTTGGTCTGCATTTGGAGAAAAATTAAGCTTCACAGCGTCTGAAAGTTTTGGGAAATGTTGTTGGTCGGGCCACCTTCAGCTGCAATTTTTCAGTGGAAACCTTCTGTCTGTCCAGGTGTCTCCATGAGCATAAGAAGTCTGCTGTAGGGGAGAAGAATACCTGCCTCAGTTCTCTATTTTTCATCTGCTGAGTGGGTCTTCTGAAAAACGCAACTTTCTCATGGGGACATAGTCACATATTTAATCGCCACTGCTGGCTCTTGATTTTGTAATGCCTGTCGGGAGGACCACATTTGGAGGCCATTACGAAACTCCCTCAGCCTGCTTCCAATCAAACCCCACATTTCTAGTTAAAGACTAAGAACTTTAATGTCTGTCTTCGTTCCCAAACTGTTCTGCTCTGTCTCTTCCCTCTCTACTTGGGCAGTGTCCCCCAGTTCCGCTTTTCCAAGAATCTGAGACTTCGGTTTTCATGATACTAATGGATCCTTTTGCTCTTTTTCCTCCCTTGACAGAAATTAAAGTTCCATTTGCCGAGACATCGAGAAGTTCGAGACACACAGCAGCGATGCAACTGCCCGGCAGGTAGGGATCTGAGACGACTAGCACTTTGGAAGGGCCTTTTTCATTGATATCTTGTTGAAAGTTTCTTTTTATGTGGTGAATGCATTAAAATATATGGATGCAAAGGTATGCATACTTGCGTAACTGATTTCCTATACTTAGGAAATCAATATGGAGATGTGTTTAGCAAGTTGGGTACATACGTAAATGCTAACTCTGCATATGACAGAAACAGCAAGAAAAGTCATGGACATCCAAGTAGACATCTACCAGTCAATAAAGATAGAAGATACATCTAGAGGGCAAACGTTCCCATTAATTTTAGAGATTGGTTTTGAAGTGGGTGGAATGGCTCCTGGGAAGTGCATGGGAGAAGGTTTGAGACATGTAGGCTAGACCCAACACCAAGGCTGGACAGCTAAATTTTGGTGAGCCAAGATGCCTCTGGGGCAAGAAGATTTAAATTCCTTGGTGTTATACAACTATCTGAGGCATCTTGCAGAATAACAGCCTCCTGTTAGAAGCGGCCATTTATCAGGGGCTTGAATGAAGTGGTCACTCAAGGTCCTGCTAATATAACATACAGAAATATTATGGGATTGCTTAATTGCATTATGTTTTTAATCATGATAATATCAAAAGGCTCTTTGAGACACATCTTCTGAAGTGGTTTCAATACAATAAGTGACAAATTGCTATGGAAAAAACATTTGTGAATGGCATTTCATTCCATTGCTATGAATCATGCAGCCTTCCTCATTGTCTTTTGATGCATACGACTTGTAGAAAAAAAGAGAAAAAAAAAAAAAAAAAAAAAAAAAAAAAAAAAAAAAAAAAAAAAAAAAAAGAGAAGTGCCAGCTACCACTCACATTCAGAGTCGATGAAGTTTTGGGAGAGTTTGAATGTGTGTATCCAAACTGAGTAACCGAAGCTCATCTTGAAAACAGACAGAGGCAGGGAAAGTTGTGTCTGGATGAGCATCTGAAGGCAGCATTTCCATTTTCTGTGGTTCTCCCTTGGTTCTCTTTGGTGCCCAATGTGAGGTCTTCCGCAGTGTCTGATGGTATGCATATCAAAGTGTATTTAAGCATGGTCAACATTGGGATAAAGGGGGATGAAATGATGAAGGGGTCTGTCTTTGCTGTAGGTAAAGTTGTCTCATAATCATTGTGTTTAAATCTGCGTACGGACATAGGAGGTATGTCTTTTGTCTGACTAAAATGGATTTGTAAAGCAGCAGCTTGTAAAAGCAAGAGGTAAAGCTCTACAGGTTTGTGATGGAAAAGTACTAAAATCCAGGATCCAGACTTGCCGAACATTGCAAAAATGCCTGATTTGACTAGTCCAGATTAGAACTGTTGGACTTCCTTTTTAGTCCCAGAAAGAAACAACAAGAACTATTTTGGTTTAAATTTAAAAGACGGTACAAATGAAATGTCTTCTGGGTATCTCTTTTCTAATGATCAGATCAAAACTGAGTTCAACTGTTTTAAAATTTCAATCTTTTCCCTTCAATGGGACCACAAATCATCGCACTACTCCATTTTCAAGTTCCTGCCTAGACTTGACATATAAATGCCATAAAACCACAGGAATTAATATCCTCCTGGTGTTTCTGAGCCAGCTTAGAGGAGGAAACTTAGAACTTGAATGCAAAGCAGAGAAAAAAAGAGATTCACTGGTTTTTAAGGCCATCTAAATGTGACCCCCTGCACCGTATGTGGGATAGATGAATTGCCCAGGTGTTTCAGCATCCAGCCTGTCATACTCGGTTACAGATATCCACATCCTTTGTGAAGCCACAGCAGCACTTGGTGCTAGATTTCTCACAATGCTTAGGTGTCTACTCATTCTGTTAAGCTCATAGTATTTCTGAAGGACAGCTTTGAGAGAAGAACAATAATTATAAATGGCTTATAAAGGTTCAGGGTTCATTTTACCTGTCAAACTTGCTTGTCTTCATCAAATATCCTATGTATACAGAACCTATTTGTAAAAATTCCCCCCACCCTGCCAGATAATCCATCAAGGGAAGTGAAGCTATGGTCCAAAGCTGGTGGTGTGCCTTGATTGGCTTTGGGCAGGGCAGAAATGAAGGCACCTTCAGCCAGCTGTTGTCTCATCTCAGACCCTTTGCTCTGGGGTGTTTCCCTTTGGTCTCCAGGCTGATGCAACACAGGCCACCTGAAAGCACTGTTGTGCTGTTTCAACATGGTCTCTCTTCCAGCCTGACACCTTGAGAATCCTTTTCCCCAATGCATTTTCCCTCTTGTTTTTAAAATGCCCTAAGGACCAGACAACGTGACCCTTGCAGGACACCAAGGTACTCAGAAGCACTGAGAAGTGTCAAGATGTTGCAAGACTTGGCGCATGCCTGTTGCTTCTCACTGGCCCCCTCCACCTCCTATAAACACATAAAGTTCCTCACCAAAAATAAATGTTTATCAGAAGTGACATTTGAGTTCATCCCTAACTGTGAGCCAGGTCCCTGCATGGCAAAGAAGTGGAAAAGGAAGGCAAGTTCATTTGCTGACCTATTCAGTACGGATGTGGAGGTCCTGGGCAGGGTCACCCATTGCCATAGAAGAGCTTCAGGACACAGGGGGTTGTGGATGTAAATGGTTTGGAAAAGCTGGGAATTAGGGGAGTGAGAAGACTGTGAAGTGTGTGACTGTGCTGTGGCTATCTGAGCACGTGTGATAAGGACTGTTGGAATAACATGGTCAGGAAAACAGCGCAGCTGTATTTATAGCAAACGATAAGGAAATATAAGTTTCCTTCGGCTGGGAAGCTGCTACTTCAGATGGCTTGGGCTGGGGCTGGGTGTGACTACCTGTGAGCAAGATGTCACTCCTTGGCATTGTGTTTTTTGAGCTCAGAGGTCGCAATGTGTTTCTTCAGCAATGTTTCAGTGGGGAAGACACAATCCCCCAAGGTCAGCACAACCTTCCTGAGCTGACTCGTCTCCCTAGGACCACAAAGATGATGAGGGGGCTGGAGACTCTCTCTTATGAGGAAAGGCTGTGGAACTTGGGTCTTTTTAGTCTGGAGAAGAGAAGGCTGAGGGGGGATCTGATCAATACCCATAAATTCTTAAAGGGGGGGTGTCTAGAGGATGGGGCCAGTCTTTATTCAGTGGTGCCCAGTGACAGGACAAGAGGAAACAGGCACAAACTTGTACATAAGAAGTTCCATCTCAACACAAGGAGGAATTTCTTCACTTTGAGGGTGGCAGAGCACTGGAAGAGGCTGCCCAGGGAGGTGGTGGAGTCTCCTTCTCTGGAGATATTCAAAATCTGCCTGGACTCACTCCTGTGCAACATGCTCTGGGTGGCCCTGCTTTGGCTAGGATGAAACTTGGGGAGATTTTCTGGGGCCGAGCAGATGCTGGTGGGACCATGGGTCTGATATCTAGGAGTGAGCCTCCCCTCATGACTTTTGCTCAGATGAGGACAATGTTTCTTTTCCATAGGGGATCTGGATGTGGTTAAGAGCTCAGGAGAGCTACCTGAGGCTGGAGGATCCTCTCGTGGCCAGCTGACCTCCCTTGATTTCTGCCACGCCGTAACAAAACGCTGCAAGGGAAAGGCATTGTGTTTTAGGTTGAGAGGGTGAAAACCTAAGCTTTCCTAGTCTGAGCTGCCGCGCCATAACAAAACGCTGTGAGGGGAAAGCATTGTGTTTTAGGTTGAGAGGGTGAAAACCTAAGCTTTCCTAGTCTGATCCAGACCCTGTCTGCCTGGACAGTCTCAAACAGCCAGGGATTACTATCAAAACCCCCTCCCACAGCCTTCCTGGCGGAGATGGGCGCTTGTGTATTTTATATACTGTGACTCTCTTTATTAGACCTTTCCCATCTTCCTCTCTTCAGCTCCTATTTTCACAGTCCCCACGTGGCTGTTTTTCACTCTGCTGGCTCTCTGCTCCAGTCTTCAATATCCCTTAAAAAAAAAAACCAACAGAAAAAAAGGTTGGCTCCTTTTCCTCTGCCCCCACAATGCTTGTTTTGGTCCAGTTTCTCCTCGGGCAGGTTGGGAGCCCGCAGTGCTGGAGGCGGTCAGCCGTGCAAGCAGGGAAGTGGCTCGGAGGGATGCCGAATGGCTTTTCCATCCCTTCCCGTGGCAGCACTCGGGGGCAGAGGAGGGAGCTGGGCTGAGGGAGGAGGCAGCTCTGGTCCTGGACTGGTGGTCAGAGGGAGGTTGCACAACCCCACCGCAAACCGATGTGCCTTCTGCTGTTACAGGAGCTTGGGGGCTGGTGTGGGACAGCTGCGAGGATTTTTGGGGTTGGCCAGGAACTGGGGTCCTCTCAGGAATATCTTTGAGGCTTTGCAAGGGAATGTCCCCTGAGCATTTCTTCTCATACGAAACCTCACCCACGTCCCTTATCTGCCCCGGCCTGGGGCGCAGCAAAAGCCACTTGGCCACTCTCTTCAGCTTCATTTGACCTTACAGAAATAGCAGCAGGAGCTGCAGCAACTCAAAACTGTTGCTGCTGTTTCCCTTCTTGCAGGGTGGACCATGAGAGCAAAGGTGCGGTGGTGGCCCTGGTTGCACTCTGGGGCTGTGGGGCCCATGTGGTGTGCACGCTCTATCCAGGCATCCTGCTTGCCCTCTGCTCGCCCCCTTGGGTCCACCCAGACCCCTCAGCACAGCGGCAGCTGCTGGAGGAGGCCAGCAAGAAAGGGCACATGGCTGCAGCAGGGCTTTGGCTCCCACCCAGGATGTATGGCCCTGAGCCGGCGGGGCCAGCTGGCAGGAGGCGGCAGGATTTCCCACATCCCGACCCCTGCCTGGCCCCACAGGAAAGGAAACATCAGGAAGGGCAGGACCTGGGTTGGCGGATGAGGGGGTGGTGGGGATGGCTGCAGCAGGGGCAGACCCCTGGACGGGCTGAGCCCTGGCCCTGCAGCACCCGGGTGGGATATTGCATCCAAGTGGATGCATCCGTTTCTCCCTTGGGATTCTTATCTCCTCCCCAGATGCCTTTGGGGAGGTAAGCCAAAAAGGGTGTCAGTGGC